GCCATGCGGGATACACACTTATGCGATCATGTATCTTTCGATACATGACTGACGAGGCAGATTTTTTTCCTGCAGTAGATTGCCATTTCTTTCTGCGGTAGACCAGTTGCTTTTAATGGCAAGAACCCGGTCTGTCCTGCTATTTACCCATAGCTGGGAAGAGAAGAGGATTCATACCTTTTCCAAGGGTATTAGAACGTAAGGGAATATAATGGATTCAACTTGAATTGTCCGATTCCTCAATTCGATCCCTTATCCAATTCTCCACCGTGCATCCTAAATTCAGTTATATGCCATGCGTGATACACGCTTAGGCGATCATGTCTCTTTCGATACATTACTGACAGATTTTTTCCCGCAGTAGGTCGCCATTTCTTTCTGTGGTAGACCAGTTGTCCTCCAAGTCTATAGAACCCGGTCTGTCCTGCTATTTACCCATAGCTGATGAGAGAAGAAGAGAATTCATACCTTTCCCAAGAGTATTAGCACGTAAGGGAATGTAATGGATTCGAGTGGAATTCTCCGATTCCTCAATACGAGCGGCTATCCATTACTCCACCGTGCCTTCTAAATTCCTAACAGATACATGATTACGTAAGCGCGTATCACGCATGATACACGCTTAGACGATCACGTATCTTTCGATGTTTCCCGCAATAGGTGGCCATTTCTTTCTGCGGTAGACCATTTGCCATCCAAGGCTATTTACTCATAGCTGGGGGAAGAAGAAGAGTGTTTATACGTTTCCCAAGCATGTTATTAGTATCGTATCAGCACGTTATCAATTATCGTATTAGCACATAAGTGAATGCAATGGATTGGAGTGGAATTCGAACTCGGCTCTCCGATTCACCAATCCGAGCCGCTATCCATTACTACACTGTTCCTCCTCTTCAGTAGGTTCATTGTTGTTTAACAAACAAAATGTGAACAGGCATCTAAATTAGGCACTAGCTAGCCACCCTAACAGATAAGCCTACTGATGTGGGGCTCTCCCCTTTTTACATAAGATGGACTCGTCCAAAGTATACTTATACTAACAGAGCGAATACCTGCTGTTGAGAAACGTCGCGAAACAGTCTCTGACTGTGTTCGACGTCTGTCGAACTCTCTGCTTTGCCAGAGAGGAACCCGGAGGAAGCTTTGCCGAAGGGCAAGGTTTCGTCCGGGGAGGTAGACAGGCCCTTGAACCCGTCTAGGCGGGTTCAAGGGGTAATTTTTTTGGCCGAGCCTACGGGCTCGGAGAAACCCACTTTAAACTCGGCCTTGTGCCACATATATTCCTTGTGGGTGGAATATTAAATACTGAGATACGTTGAGATACGTGGAGATACGTTGAGATACGTTGAGACAGGTTGAGAGATACGGAGATACACACTGGGTGTTCTCAGAGAGTTATACAAGAGTCCAGAGAGAGAGAGAAATTACGGCTTTACTTACAGAGACTTGTACATATACTTTCTACTAACTCTCATTCCTGGACTACTAATCTTCACTTCAAGTCTGTATTCTTACACTTATTTTTCTATCTCAATTACTGGCGTTGTTTATTTATTTGTGCAGGATTCCATTCACGGAATCCACAACACCTGCTCAAAAACGAGTATGCTTATCTACTTTCATTATACGAGTCACTGTTTTTATAATAAAATTAGTATTGGCTAACCTGCATGCAGACGATGTCAAATTTTATTATGCATGTTAAGAGTTTAACAATAAAGTTGATTTCAGAGTGTGCCAATTGCACGCATCCTCCCGACGTTTTCTCTCGATTCCTTGCGATAATTCATCGCATCTGGTGGCTCTTCAGGTTGACACCCCGTGTCTTCTCATATTTACTAGATTTATGTATTGTATGGACGGCCAAATGTTAGTGTCGATCAACTCATCTATCTTAAAAGTAACATCTCTTCCACTAAAAGTGATACGAACATTTATCTTTTTCTATGTGCCGTGTCCCTTCAAGACGTTGACGATTATGGCTCTCCACAATTTCACATGATGTCAGATAACATATGTCATCAAAAGAGATATATATTTAGAAAAGATATCAGAATAACGAGGAGGCACTGTAGCTTAATTGCTCGGATTGAGGAATCAGAGAACCAAGTTCGAATTCCAGTTGAGTCCATCACATTCACTTACGTGTTAATACTTTTGGGAAAGGTATTAATCCTATCCTTCCCCTCCCAGCTATGGTTAAATAGCAGGACAGACCAAACAGCCCTGGATAACAAATGGTCTACTGCAGGAAGAAATCAGTCATGTATCGAAAGATACATGATCGCCTAATCGTGTATCACGCATTACACATAACGGACTGTTTAGAATAACCCAGAAATCATACTGAGTGTAAACCGCCATACGGATTTTTAAATTAATTTTTAGCAATATTAATAAGAATATTCAGTCAGTTATGCTCCATGCTTAGTCATACACGCTTAGGCGATCATGTATCATTCGATACATGACAGACTAGGCAGATTTTTCCCGCAATAGGTTGCCATTTCTCTCTGCGGTCGACCAGTTCCCATCCATAGCTATAAAACCCTATTTACAAATAGCTGCGGGGAGGAAAGGAAGAGGATTCATATCTTTCCCAAGGGTATTAGCACGTAAGTGTAATGGATTCGATTGGAATTCGAACTCGACTCTCCGATTCCTCAATCCGAGTATATATCTATTACTCCTAACAATATTAGAAACCTCAAAATGGCAGATTTTGTGCATTTTATACATTTTCAGTTTATTGCTGATTCTTATGTAATTTGATAATTAGAGTCACATGGTGTCAATTAAAATGAATTTTGGGCAATATTAAAAACAATATTAGAAATCTAATAATGGCAGATTTTGTGCATTCCCATAAATGAATTCAGTAAATACACAAATATAGAAAGGGTTTAAGACAATGATTTGTCTTCTCATCTAACTTATTGAACCTTTACGCTGAGGCGATCCCGAGAGCATTAGAAGTTCTACTAGAATTCATTATTGCTAGCTACAATCTCAGCATAAGACATGCAGATGACACTGTGTTGATAGCAGACGCATAAAGGAAATTTGAGGAAAATCTAAAGAAGATACTAAAGGAAAGCAAGAAGAAAAGACTAAGGATCAGTTGTAAAAACACAGTAATTAATACAAAGTAAATTTTGGATACACTTGAAAGCTGCAATAGAGGTTATGTCCTTTATCCAAATAATCACGCAATATGACTTAGAGAAAGGAGGTGGAGTAATGTTTTGAATTAGTATGATAGGAAGTAAAATTTTAGTTCCTTTCACATTTGATTATTACATTATAATGAATACAAAGAATAATCTTAAGTTCTAGGACAAGACATTTTTTGGAATGATGCATGTCACAACAAAGAAGCTTTAGGCTAAAAAGTATATTCATTCAATTTTTTGGCCCTTTAAATGCTGACTATTGCTCAATTAGTCTAAAAAGGTTTCAAAGACACTAAATTAATTGAATGGCTACCAACCTCTCCAGACACAATTGAAAATTTATGGTTTATCATTAAAAGAAATTTATATGAAAATAAAAAATAAGATAGAAGCAAAGATCTTTGGAAAGCAATAAAAACTGCGGCAAATAACGCTAAAATTGAAACAGTAAGAAAGTCAACAAAATCAATGAAGAAGCTCAGATTAATATATAAAATAACAAAACTCTTAATCGTGTTAATCAAATGTGTGTTCCTCTGGCCTATATATTTTATGTTCATTTATAAATAATAATTTACGTTACACTTTGATTACATAATTAAACCTGACACTGTCCAAAACAAGTTAGGAATATTTTTAATAATGATAGATGTTATAAAATAAACTGAAACTCACAAGATAATTTGCTCATATGAATATATCCTGAGTCTTTTACCGAGAAAATAGCAAATTTATTGTGAAAACATTGAACTGCATAACAAAAATTGGTATTATATATATATATATATATATATATATATATATATATATATATATATATATATATATATATATATATATATATATATATATATAATGGTATAATGTATATATATATATATATATATGTGGGGGTATAATGTGTATGTATATATATATATATATATATATATATATATATGCATTTTTTATACATTATTTATATATTATATATGCGGGGTACTTATTAGAAAGCGCATATTTATTTACATATTTATTTGCTTTAATATGAGTTTGTGATCCTGGTTTGACGATTGCATCGTGAAACCCAGGGTCACAAATTCACATCAACGTATCTAAGTATGTGTGTGTGAGTTTGTAGTTTGTAATGACAATATGACATTATATATATATATATATATAATATAAATGATATTGAGCACTTTATCCCATAAATATAGCCCATCTTAAAACTATTTTTTTTTCATATATATATATATATATATATATATATATACACAAAAAGTAAACTTATTTTAGTTGTCGCGTTTCCTCCTCTGAGGAACTTCATCAAACCAAACAAGTTATCAATATGTTTAATAAAGACTGATGCTATAAACGGAAACTTATACGATATATTGCTTTTATAAATATATCTTGAAATTTTTCCATATATTGATTGGTTAATATCAATTTTTTAATGACAACATTTTCCTTTATAAAACCATTTTTTGTCGGCTAAGATAAGTTTTCTTTTTGTCTTTCTTCATATTGTCCTTTTACAAATATACTCTATTTGAAATTTTAACACACACACATTATATATATATATATATATATATATATATATATATAATAATAATAATTTAGTATTTCAGAAGCAATCCCTCTTTTATACAAGTTTCATTGCAAAAGACTGCCAAGACACTGCGATTAAGCTTCTTTTTTTGCATTCGTTCAAATTATTTGCAGATTAAAAAAATAAAAAGCTTAATCACAGT